TCCCCCAAAAATCCAGAAGGAATCAATAGATTAACCAATATGCAGTAAATCCAGCCAAAGGGTTTGTTGATTCCTGGCAATGCTGCTATCATATATAAATGTGGCATACCCAAACTGAGCACCAATAGAGAATTGGATATGGAGGAATTGAGGGTGATTCAGCAGGGCAGACCATTGTAACTCAGATCTAACAAATATCCAAAATTTATTATTCAAATTGGCGAAATGATTAAATTTAGGGAATTTTATTAAAATATTTTGAGGGTGTTTTGTGACCATAGCCTCCAACAGAGTAAAACACCAAATTTTATTTGTTCTAACAAGATGAATTAATCTCTTGAGAGAGAGGAGGGGTCGGCTACACCCCTTATATTCTAACACAAAAAGTTGATCATTGTGAAAAGGTTTTCCCTTTTCCTCTAATTCTGGGGTAAATTTCATTTTGCTTATTTATGGAAGGCCCATCTAATGATTGAACTTTGTTTTAACTTCATCCTACCTTTCTTCTTTTTGTTGCTTTTTTGAACTTGTCATTCATCAATGAGCACCTTTTTTAAGCTGTTAAGAGTGGGATTATCAAACTTGTGTGGGTTAATATCCAATTGTCTCTCATCTTGAATAATATCCTCCATTTGTCCTTCCTCCAAATGAGGATAGTAGTTAGATGCTAATTTCTGAGTGACACCCTGATCATCATCAACAACTATAGGGTTGATCTGAATAGTTTGTTTAACCATCTCACCCGTACAAGCAGGCGGTGGGATAACAATTTTAGTGGCATGAACCTCTCCTAAGCTTCCTCCCACCTCCATTGTAGAATGTGAAACAACCTCTATAGAAGTAGCAACACTCTCCTTATGGGGGCCAGCAACCTTCTTTTAGAGGGTGGATGAAGTCTATAACAATTTTCTAAATTATGCCCAAACATTCTGCAATGAGGACAATAGAGAGGTTTTTGTTCCACCACAATATTCTACCAAAATCCATCCTCTTCAGTTCCAATCCAAACCATTTTCACATCAAGAAGGGTTATATCCCTTTCAACCAGAACTCTAGCCCCAGCAGGTCTAGCCAAATTATAGGTTGGAGCATCCACCTTCAATGGACAGCCAATAATATGAAAAATATTAAACAGAACATTTTGATGATATAAATAAATTGGAAGATAGGCAGTTTGAACCACATGGGGACAATTGGAGGCTCATTATTTGGATCAAAACCAAGAGTCCACTTAACAAGTTTCATAGGAGTCTCAGCAATTAGGAGAGATTGTTTAGCAAAAATTCTAGCATAGTATTTTTCATTAAGGAGTTTAATTAGAAGGTGCTACCATCCATCAAACCCAACTTCTAAGCTCTAGTAAGATTAAGCTCTTCAAAAAAATTCCTAACATAATCCATTATTGGATGACCAAATTGGAATTTTCCAATTGAAGTAAATTTAATGGTTTCTATTAGTGATTGAATTTCCCTGAGAGTAAATAAAATGGTTGGTTCACCATCTTTTAAACCAAGTGGATTAACATAGGGACAAGCCCCTTTATCTGTAGCAGCATCATGAAGAGCTTAAGGGAAAATTAAGTGATCAAAGGACTTTGGGATGTCCTGCCCCTTGCCAACAACACCAACATATGTAGCCTTGGTCCATTGAGCATTCATTTCAACATCAATGCGGTAATCCTCCATTGAACCCAGCCTCCCGGATATCAATGGAATAGCAATTTCAAAACTCAAAAGCCTGGGAAAGTGTCAGAACACACAACCCAAGCAAAATAGGAGAAAACCTTATAGAACACCACCCAAACAAACTGGAACAGCTCACCAAACCAAAAGCAGGCAATGAAACAGTAGCTCAAAGAATGACTGCAGTAGCCCGAAAACTTTCTAAATACAACACTCTTCTTAACTCCTCCAGTTAAGAAAGAAGTTCACCCTTAATCAACAACACCAAGCTCCACAATCAAGCATCACAGCGCCACCGAGAAGGAGCCATCAGATCACAAACCCTAGCAGAGCAAAGCTGGATTCAGCCATATATATATATATATATATATATATTAATTAAAAAAGGAGTGACAGAGACTCCCTACATGTTAAACTGAAATAAGGTTACAAAGTTATATGGGGCTTGGTTCACAGACAAACCAAGGATCACCTAAAAGGGGGCATGGCCTCCCAAGAGAAAACAAAATACCAATGTAACCTATCAAAACACCTGTCCCCAAACAATAGGGCTAAAAAGAATAAGGAAATGAAACATAACAAAACAGTAAGGACTTAAGGAAACAAAAGCCCTCCCTAGACAACATGGTTAGAATAAACATCAGTGGACATCCCTCTTCTAATATAAGGCTGATCAGAGAGATCTGCCATAACCAACAAAGCCAGCTCCACAGGAGGGGTAGTAAATGCTTTTGGCAACATAGACAAAGCACCTTGATGTGCAAGCCAATTAGCACATTTGTTACCCTCCCTGAAAATATGCTTCCAGATAATCTGAAGGTTATGAGTCAACTTCATGTGAGTGATTTTCTTAACAGCATGTATAAGAAACCAATGTGGGGAGATGTTATCTTTTAAAAGCTGGAATAGCCATAATGAGTCCATTTCCACAATTAGTTGGTTCCATCCCATAACAACAACTATTTGAAGGGCCCATACCACAGCTAAGGCTTCAGCCTGCAAAGCATTTAGAGCAACAGTAGGAAATTGGAAACACAGTAGGCAAACCCCAACATTATTTCTGAAAATCTCTCCAATTCCAGCAGTGTGTCTTTTATAACTCCCATCAGTGTTGATTTTGATCCAAGGATAAGAAGGTTTCCTCCAATGGAATAGCTGAAATTTTGGTATGGCAGTAGAAACTTGGGTATTGAGGATTTGGGAACACCCAGGAATTTTAATCTTATACTCCATGAGATTGATCATCTTAAGAGTATATGCCAAGCAGTTGGTAGCAATTTGTGTAGCACTTTGGATTTTTTCCTCATATTTATTATTATTCCTTGCCATCCAAATGAACCATGTAGTAATAAAGGGGATCATTTCAGCATGGTTCCCTTTCCAAATTTTCCAGCAGTCAAGGAAGTTTCCAAAATTCAGTAAATGGGAAGGAAAACTAAGATTAGCAGCTACCTGTGTCCAAACCCCTTGAGCAATAGGACAAGAGAAAAACACATGATTAAGGATTCCTCTTGTTGGCAACAGAAAGCAGATCTTGAAGGTCCTTTCATACCCTTGAGTTTGAGTATATCATCAGTGAGAATAATGTTATGAAAACATCTCCAGGTGAAGAAAGACATAGAGGGGCTGAGGTATTTCACCCACATGGCATTACCCCAATCCTTATCGTGCCAATTGTTTAATTGGGAGTATGCAAATTTGGTAAAAGAAGTATGAGAAGGATTTTTAGTCACAATTCTATCTGGTTTCAATGGATTAATTGGGGCCTTAAGAATTTGAAACACTTGTTCAGGATTCACCATAGAAGCCAACATGTCTCTATTCCAAAGATGATTATTCCAACAAAGATGAATAGGGGTGTTGATAGCTGAGTCCAGAGAGGTTGATGGTTCCAATTTACCCTCCAAAAGCCAATTATCTAACCAAAAATCAACTTTTCCTTGTCCCACATCTCAAATAAAAAGGTCTTCAGCCACACACCTAATATGCAAGAGCTCAGTCCAAATTCTAGAATCCCCAGATTTTCTACAGGTAATTGATGGATGGGAGTGTTTGCAATGTTTTAACTTCATATAGTTAGCCCACAAAGATTTCTATTCTCTAAATTTAATCCAAAGTTTACAATAGAAGATTTCATGGAGCTGTTGGAAGGATTTCATGCCAAGCCCCCCTGCAGTTAGAGGCAGACAAAGCTTTACCAACTAAACCAGTGAGCTTGTTTATGATTGTCTTCCCACAAGAATTTATTCAACATCACCTCTAGAGTTTTCTGTATACCTCCTTTCATTTTCATCATTTGCAAAATATACATAGGAAAAGAAGCCAGTATACTTTTAATTAAGGTTAACCTTCCCCCCTGTGACAAAAAGGAATTAGTCCAACAAGAGATTTGTTTGGAAATTTTAGAAACCACCTCATCAAATTGAGTTTGCTTCTTCCTTCCTTTAATTAACTGTACCCCAAGATAAACCAAGGGGCTGGTAGTAGATTTAAAACCAGTGAAATCTTTAATCCAGTTTTTGGTAGCAGGATTTAGCTTATTGCTAAATATAAGTTGACATTTCTTTGAATTCAGAGAGAGACCAGAGATCTGTTGGAACAAGTTCAGCAGATTAACCACCTTCTTCACTGCTGGTTTTGAGGCCTTAGAAAATAGTATGAAGTCATCAACATAACATAGATGACTTATGGAAAAAATTGCTTTATTAGAAAATTCGAGATATTCTCTTTCAGAAAAATTATGGTTAAGAAGCCTAGATAAGTAATCCATAGCCAAATTGAAAATGTAAGGAGAAAGGGGGTCATCTTGTTTAATTCCCCTCGTAGCTTGGAAATGCCCTTGAGAATTCCCATTAATAAGAATGGTATAATAATTATTGTTGAGCCACCTGGGGATGATTTGGCAGAAGGAATTTTGAAACCCCCTAGCTTTAAGAACCTCCAAGATAAAATTCCAATTGATAGTGTCATAAGCTTTAGAGATGTCCAACTTATATATAAGATTACCCCCTCTGCAAGGCTTGTCAATATCTAGCAAGAGTTCCTACGTAAGTAACACATTATCAGTAATTTGTCTTCCTGTAACAAAAGCAGACTGATTAGTAGAGATCATCCAATATAAATGTGGTTTTAATCTAAAAACCAAAAGCTTGCTAATAAGTTTAGACAGCACAGTGGTGAGAGAGATGGGTCTAAAATGATCCCAATTAGATTTATGGTCTCCCTTTGGGATTAAAGTAATGGTGGATTGAGCAAAGTAATGTGGCATATCCTCCCCTCTGAAGAAGGCTTGGACAGCTTCCACAACATCAAATTTAATCACCTCCCAAGTTTTATGTAGAAAGTAGAAGTAAAACCATCTGCACCAGCCACCTTGTCACCATCAATAGAACATAAAGCTTTCCAAATTTCTTCCTCAGTAGGAATAAATGTTAAATCCAAGCAGTGAATATCAGAGAATTTGTCATTAAGTAAGTTAGGGTCAAAGTTCAGGAGAGTAGCCTTATGGGGTTCAGATAAAAGGTTTTGAAAGTGATCAATAGCATCTCTGTGAATTAGATCAGTACCTTGGACCCAAATGCCATTGTGATTTTTAATCTTCAGGATGGTGTTGGAATGTCTTCTTTGTTTAATACAGGCATGGTCAAACTTTGTATTCCTATCCCCATCAACAAATTTTTTGATGGCAACCTTCTGTTTATAGAACTCTTCCTCCCAATGAATAGCTTGAAGCAGATTTACATTAGCTAATATCAGGTTCTGTTCATCAGAGAGCCCCATTTGAATGTTTAATTTAGTTTGTTTCACAGCAGCTTCAACCTCTTCCACTTTTGCTGTAAAGTTGCCAAAGCAATTCCAATTCCAGGCTTTCAGCAATTTAGCAACTTTTTTTTTGAATTTACCATAGTTTAATCCAAGGAGGGAAGGAGGAAACATGTACCCAAACAGACTTAATAAAGGAGAGGAATTCAGGATGTTCAACCCAAACATTAAAGAATCTGAACCTTGGTAAGGGAGCAACAATATTAGGGGATATAGAAATAAGCAAAGGCCTATGATCAGAACATGTGTAAGGAAGATGGGAAATTGTAGTCATAAAGTTGGTATCCAGCCAAGCTTGATTAACCAGGAATCTATCAATTCTTTCAAAAAGTTTTCCTCTTCTCCAAGTGTCCAGAGGTCCCTGATGAGGAAGCTCAGCAAGGGCAGTGTTCCTGATGTTCTGATTAAAGAGTAACATTTGTGTAATGTCCATAGGATTTTTCATTCAATCTAGCTATACTGTTAAAGTCTCCACCAATGATCCAAGGTCCATTAATATAGGATTTGAGATGCTCGATTTGTTGCCATAATATAGCTTTATCATTTGCAGAACTCCCAACATAAATGAATGTAGTCTGAACATGTAGAAAATCCCATATAAGCTGGATATGAAGAAATTGAGGTTGGTCATTCAAGATCTGAACATTCAGGTTACTCCTATAGAAAAACCAAATTTTGTTATTAATATTGTAATTACAGTTGAAACTTGGGAAGTGTTTTCTAAATCTGCAAGGAGTGCATTGAACCAAAGGTTCAAGAATAGTAACACACAATAATAACCTGTGCTTCCTTACCAACTGTCTAATTCTGATCAAAGATTTATGATAAAAAATCCCCCTGATGTTCCAACACATCAAATTAATCATCTGAAAGGAAATGGAAACCCAAGGACTGCTATCCAAACAATCCAGAAAAATGACCAGTGATCTGCTGACATGAGACATATGAAGGAAATAAAAGGACTCCCATATCTTTCAAGAAAGTTGGTAGAGAGCATAAAGAACTCTACCAACACCCAAAGACCAAAAAGACCCTTTCTCAAATTATTATTGTTGTCACAACAAACCAAAAAATAGACTAGTGACTTTTGAATCAAAGGCAAAGGAATAGAGGCAAAGGAGTAGACAATCTTCCATATCTTCTTAGATATAGAGTATATAAATGTTGATAAGAGTCTGCTATCACCCAAAGGCCATAGAAACCATTCTCAACATATAATAACTGAAGTTAAGGAAAAAAAATTAAAGGTCTTCTGAAAGACATAAAGTGAATAGAGGTCAATAACCAAACCAGAGAGATTTTAAGCATTTTGAGGGTAAAGATGGGGTGAAGGTTGTGATCTGGATCTGGTTCTCCCTTTAGAGGGTCCAGGAGATGATCTAACCTTCAGAATATTGCCAATGGAAGCTGCCTCTCTTTGTAATCTTTGAGATTTTGTGGTTTGTTTTTTCTTTCTCTTAGAGGTCTGCATAACTCAATACTCCCCCAAAGGTGGTTCAAATTAGTAACCTTTTCTCCTTCAATCACATGATGCAATTGTTGTTCCTGAATTGGATCCTGTAGCCTCTCCTCAAAGGAATGAACTGTGGGGGAAATTATAGTAATGATATTGGGTTCCTCTCTTAGCACTTCCTTAGGAGGAGGAGGAGTAATAGAAATAAAGGAGGTTGGAGAGTTCTGAGCCTCATCCTGTAAGCCATCCTCATTAACCCCAGGAAGTTGAATGGGGGCAATTTCCTTCAAAGAAGACTGTTTCCTTTTCACTGGAGGGTGTAGCCTATAGCACCTATCCCTAGTGTTCCCAAACATCTTGCAATGTTGATAATAATAAGGCCTTTGCTCAAGGATTACCTCCTGCCAAAAGTCATCCTGTTCAGAGCCTATCCACACTCTATTAATTTCAGGCAAGGTGATATCTCTTTCAATGAGATTTCTAGCATATAATATATATAATTTTGAAAAAGTATTATTTTAAGTTTTAAAAATACGAGACCAAACCGTTCTCATATTTGCAATAGTTTAAATGATCGAGCACAACACCACAAATAATATATCTATCTCGAAAGATAGATACATTACTTGCTAGTGATGCTCGATTAAATAAACTAAGGAATTTATAAAATCCGTTAAAGTATGCGAAAACCCATTTTTATGTTGACTGACAAGTTCCCATATTTAATATAAAATAAATTAAATAGGGTTTATATTAAGCTGAGTTCTTAAAGTTTCCTATAAGGGCAAACCACTATATTTAATTAAATCTTAGATAACTGAAGTCACCTAAGAAAACTCTTGATTTAGATCAGGGAATACTGTTTTCAAGAATTTCAAGGGCTAGGGATTTTCAAAAGATTAAACCAAAGGAGTGTCAAAGGAAAATGACTTAAATTTGGAACATTGTTATGAAATCTAAAGGAAGAGGAACTAGAGGTTATCACAGACCTTGAGAAGAACCCCGATGACTTCCTAAGCTATCCTATGGTTTCGCTTTAGTTTTGAGAAGAAAAATTATTTAAATATTACATCCTGCCAATTTTCTTAATTAGGGCTTACATTTGCATGACACTGTCATACAAATAGCCTGGAAGATATAGGGATTTATGTCGTAACAAATGACAACCTCAGAGCCTAAGGCAAGTTAGGGCTTAAATTATATAGCAGAGCTATACAAATATAGCAGAGCTATAGAGCTATACAAAGGCCTAAAGATAAAGCGAGGATTTACGTTGCACTGGGAAGACAACCTCAAAGTTCTATTGCTTATTTATTTAATTCTAAAGTAAGATATGTTGTTGTAGATCCTCATGTTATTGTAGATCCTCATGCTATTGTAGATTGCTATTGTGGATTGCTGCTCATGAAGTTAGCTCCAAGCTCCTCGACAAAGTAGCAGTCTTAAAGGTCAAAAAGGTTTTACCATATGTTGTAAGGTTATGAGGGGGTTAAAGTTGATTAGAACAATATCGGATAGGATCCCACAATCCCCTCATTATGGTACTACTGTTTTCTTTTCAATTTATTTAGCTTAAACAAGTTGTTACACTTATTTAAACTGGGAAGATTTCATTAGCAACCGCGGGTTACCTCATCCGAGGGACTCCCGTAAATTCAAAAGGATGTTTTAAGTTTAGTGATATTTCAAAGGATTTATGGTTACCTTTGAAAGAGTTTGTTTTAGTTTTTTGAAAATATCGATTAATTTTTAAAAATGGTTTTGATTTTTTTGCAAGTAAAGTAAAATGCATAATCAAGAAGTTATAATATTTTACAGCAATAATAAATAACTGTAAATGAGTGCCTGTCATCTTTTCGGCATTCTCGTTGAAAGATTTTAGCTTTTGCAACATTTATATCTATTTGCAGGAAATTAAATAAAATAGGAAAAGTCAGAATAGTTGAAGGTGTATCTAACAAACACAAGTCATGACTCGACAAGTCCTTAAAGATCTTAGCGGATGATTTCCTAGATCAAAAATATAATATCCAAGAGATCTTAAAATGTTTGGGACATGACCTTGAACAACTTTTAAAATCACTCAAAACATTCTGAGTTCATTTTGAACTTATTATCTTATTCCATTAATCATCTCAAAATTTAATTATCTCTGTGCTCAGTGAACCTTGATATTTCAACTATCCTAAGAAATGAAGGAATTTAGATAGTCACTTAACCTTTTATTTGACAGTTATATGAATGGGTACCCCAAAGGGAAAGTCCAAAGTCAGTAAAGACTTTAATGTCAGAAGTTATAGTAGGGCCTAAACCGTTTGAAAGTGTTTATCAATTAATTAAGTCCATCTTTTCTAATCCCAATCAAGAAAATTCTTACATATCAAATCTAATTCACTATTAGGCCCTCTTGATTTTAATATTATTTTTTTTAAGTAATTTTATAATAATTAAATATTAAGTAAAAAGAAGTCCTAATTCTCATTAATATCAGACTCAGCATCCAATCATCAATTAGTGGGCTTTAAATGAGTGGATTATTATCTTAATAACTTAAGCTCAATACTTTAGGATCATCTTAATTGAATTATCTTCCAAATCATGAAAATTATTAAAATTATAATTCTACTCTTATCATGAAAAGGATGGCAATTGGTTTCTACCTCTTAGCTCTTCATATTTCAAACACCCAAAAGACTTTATTATAATAAATATTACCCATTTACCCTTTGATTAATTTTAAAATTAAATTAAGGCATTAAAAATCCAAAATTAACATTTTGCCACTAGGCTCTCTATCCTATAACTTTTTAAATGAAACTCAAGTGACCTTGAAATTTCCATGGAGACTCAATCATTAGTTAATTAAAATATTAGAGGAGATGATGTGGTCTTTTAGATTTTTTATTTGATTTATAAAATTATTTTAATTCAAAAATAGGATTTTCAATATTAATTCATGTAATTAATCAAAATAAGATTTTTGGTCATGAGATAATTATTAGAGGTTCACCCAGGTCAGAGGAACACTTGGACAAAATTCCATAATTTTTTTAAAATTATGTTTTAATTATTATAATTATTTAATGATTTTTTACTGATTATTTAAATATAAAATATATTTTAATTTTAAAAATTACCTTTTATATTTTTATTAAATCTCCTTAAGTTCAAGGAATTCAAAGAAATAAATTTCATATTTTTATGATTTATATTTCATTTATTATAACTATTTTAATAAAAAAACAAGGAAAATATATTTTAGACTTTTAAAAATTTATTAATAATTTAGAAAAACTAAGAAAAATATTCTAATGAGTCCTAAGTGATTATGAAACAATTAGGCACACTTTAGACTATTTTCATATTTCCTTTTAAAATTTTTAATTTTTTTAATTATTTTTAAATTAAAATATAGCTTAGAAACAAAATATTTTCTCAAAAATAATTTTTATTTTTCCTAATTGCTCCTGATCACAAGGAACTCATAAAACCACTTTTAATAATTTTTCTAAGTATATTTAATTTAATTTAATTATTTTTGTATAAAAATATAATTTTTCTTAGAAAATCAACTTTAGTACTTAAACTTAATCAAACAAATTTCAAATTTTTAGAGTGAGTGAGCGTGATTTTTCTACATAATGTGGAATTGATTTACTTAATTCTTAAATAATATTTAATTTAAATAAATTAATACAATTTTTAGGCATTTAGCTAGCTATAAAAATATTTAAAATTATCTAAACTATCATAACATTTTTCCAAAGCTTCTCTGATCATAGAGAACTTACTAAATTTCATCTCATAATTTTAAGCCAAACTAGCCATCCAAGCTTGGAAATTAGGGTTACATGTATAGGGATGCTCTTTGACCTTGGAAAAATCAGATAACATCCCCTCTATCATGAGGAATGAACCCCCAAAGTTTCAAGCTTTGATGAATAATATTTAACCAATTTTAATTAAAACACCTCAAAGACTATTTAATTAATTAAAAATCATAAACTCATCAAATAAATTTTACTTTTGATCTACATTATTCTCCTCTATCCATTGAGCAAGTGAGTATTTTTATTTTTTTTTTGAATTTTCTATGCAAATATATGGATTTTTTAAGTTCTGGTATTTATTAAATTCATTTAAATCCTATTTTCCTACTTAACCCAATCAGTGTTGCGTCATCCTCATCCTCCCCGAACTTTCCACGAGCGCTCCGCCATTTGACGCCGCCACTTGACTCAGGTGCCACACATCCCGGCTTTACCTTTTTGTCCATTTGTCCGACACGATCTGTTCTGTCTATCTGATACACGCACGATCAAATGGCTGTGGGTCATTGTACCCAATGGCCATAACCCATGAACTGTTAAACTTTAACCCCTAAGATCTCTCTTGATACGCAACCAAATCACATGGGGTTTGTTCTTACACCTTCAACTACTCAAGACGAACACATCTTTATGGTTACAATGCTATGAAATCAAACTTCTTTTCACAATTGGTGAAACCGAGCTCAAAATTAGGGTTAACGATTTATACCTTTGCCCAAGAGGTGAGGCCTCAATTGGGTGCTTGTGGAAGCTTCAGTGGAGTCCAACAAACCTCCTAGATGTGTTGTTTTCCTCTGGTGAATGATCCAAGCATAAGTTCAGTGAAAAGGTGGAGCAGCGTTGGTCTACATGTGGGTTAGAGTGCTTGAGATAAGAAGGTTTTGATGGCAAACTTCTTCGTTTAGCTCAGAGAAGCTAAAGGAAGAATAAATTTGAAGTTTGGTGGTGTTTGGATTGAATGGCAGAAAATCCCTAGATTTTGAACTCAAAATTGAGCTCTCACAAAGGGATTCAGAGGAGCAAAATGGCAGGCTTGAGCTTAGAAGTTCTTGAAGAGCCCCTAGAAGAAGTTGGACAGAGTCTCCCCAAGGTAAATGGTGATCTCTTTTCTTAGCCATGGGAGAGGGAGTTTAAATAAAGGGGAATTTAAGGTTGAATTGTCCAAGCTAGTGGGTGAGTTTTGTTTCTTAGGTGGAAGGGGAAAGAGGCAAGTAATCAATTGAGATGAGCCAGCTTAGATGGGAATGAGTTTAGTTTAAAACAAGGTGACTCTTAGTTTTAGGGTTTTTTGGCAACTACGCTAGCCGATAAGGTTATGGGTGGTGGCCAGAGGAGTCATAAAAGCCTTAGGGAAGCTAATGATGATTAACCCTTAATGGTTAAGGTTGATGACAACTGTATCTTGATTTAACACCAATATGTGAAGAGATCCTTTAAATAAAGGGACCATTGGTCCATGGCTCATGTAGGGTGGGCTAGGTGGGTCTAGCCTGATCATTAGGGTCTAAAGGGTAGTTGTGGTCGAT